CAGCGCGCGACCTCGTTTCGCAGTCGCATCGCGACTGGGAGCGCTGGCGGTCGGCTCCAGGCCCGCTCGACGGCTTGCGGTCGCTGGCAGTCTGCTCGTCAACGTCGGTGCCACGGGCGGTGCTGCCGCGCTCGACGGATACTGACGCTATTGCGACCTTCCTCCGAGAGACTGAGGGCGCGCCGCGCGTCATCTTCTGCACCTACCACTCTGCGGATCGCGTGGGCGCGGCGTTGCGGGAGGTTGGAGCTGCGGCCGACCTGCTGGTGTGTGACGAGGCGCACCGCTGCACGGGACGGACGAGCAAGCGGTTTGCGAGGCCGCTCTTTGACGAGTTTCTTCCCGCCCGCCGCCGCCTCTTCCTCACCGCCACGCCCAAGCTCATCGGCGAGAAGCGCGACGCAGACGGAGCCCTCATCCCGGCCGGATCGATGGACGACGAGAGCCTTTTTGGGCGGCAAGTTTACCGGCTAAGCTACGGCGAGGCGGTACGACTCGGGGTAGTGTCGCCGCTCAAGCTCGTCTTTCTGGACGTCGCCGACAGGTATGCAGCGTGGGCGGCCGGTCGCGTGTCCGACTCTGACACGGACGACTCGGACTTGGTCGCGCTCTGCCTCGCCATGCTCGACTGCCGCAGGAGCTACGGCGTCCGCACCGCCTTTGCCTTCTCCTCCTCCAACGCCCGCGCTGCAAGGCTCGAGCTAGTCGCGACGTCGGTCCTAGAGTCGGACGAGTTTGCCGTCGGCCGCGTCAACGGGTCGATGCTGTCGGACGCGCGAGAGCGGCGGCTGGCGCCGCTGCGGCGGGCGGGCGAAGCCGCGGCACCGACTCAGCTCGTGACCAACTGCCGCGTGCTTGCGGAGGGCGTCGACTTGCCGTCGGTCGACCTCGTCGTGTTTGCCGACGCGAAGCAGAGCCACGTCGACATCCTCCAGTGCATGGGCCGCGCGTCGCGCGTCGCGCCGGGAAAAGCGTTCGGCTACATTCTCGTGCCGGTCAGCGAGGAGGCGGCCGATGGCGGGGCACATGGCAGGGCGACGGCGGTTTTGAGGGCGTATGCCGAGCAGGACGCGGAGTTCCGCGAAGCCCTCGCTGCGCTCGTCAGCGGCGAGGCGCGCGCAGGGGGGCCGCTCGACTACTCGGAATGGCCAGAGGCGCTGCGCAGCGTGCTGCTGCTGCCAGATCGCGGCGACGTGCAGCGCGCGGCGGAGCGGACGGTTGCGACGGTGGCGCGGGAGCTCATCGACCGCTGGGAGCGAATGTTTGGGCTGCTGCAGGCCTTCCGGGAGCAAGAGGGGCACGCCAATGTGCCGCGGAAGCACGTGGAGGATGGCGAGCAGCTTGGCGGATGGCTCAGCCGCCAGCGCAAGCTTCACAAACAAGGGCTGCTGCCGGGAATGCGCGCTCAACGGCTGGAGGCGGTGGGCGTGGTGTGGGATGCTCGGGCGGAGCAGTGGGAGCGCATGTTTGGGCTGCTGCAAGCCTTCCGGGAGCGAGAGGCACACGCCAACGTGCCGGACAGGTACGTGGAGGACGGCGAGAAGCTTGGTTCATGGCTGCAGACGCAGCGGAAGCGCTACAAGGCGCGAGGGTGGAGCGAGGCGGAGCGCAAACGCGGGAAGGCCAGCGCGATGAGCGACGAGGAGGTGGAGCGGATGGAGGCGTTGGGCGTGGCGTGGGACCCGCTGGCGGAGCAGTGGGAGCGCATGTTTGCGCTGCTGCAGGCGTTCAAGCAGCGTGAGGGGCACACCAATGTGCCAGCAAAGCACGTGGAGGATGGCGAGAAGCTAGGTGTCTGGCTGTCGGACCAGCGGAAGCGCTACAAGGCGCGAGGGCTGAGCGAGGCAGAGTGCAAACGGTTGTCGGTCAGTGCGATGAGCGACGGGGCGGTGGAGCGGTTGGAGGCGGTGGGCGTGGTGTGGGATGCTCGGGCGGAGCAGTTGGAGCGCATGTTTGGGCTGCTGCAGGCGTTCCGGGAGCGAGAAGGGCACACCAATGTGCCGTACCGGCACGTGGAGGACGGCGAGAAGCTTGGTGTCTGCCTGTCGAACCAGCGGAAGCGCTACCAGGCGCGAGGGTGGAGCGAGGCGGAGCGTAAATGCAAGAAGGCCAGCGCGATGAGCGACGAGGTGGTGGAGCGGCTAGAGGCGTTGGGAGTGGCGTGGGATGTGCTGGCGGAGCAGTGGGAGCGCATGTTTGGGCTGCTGCAGGCCTTTCGGGAGCGAGAGGGGCACGCCAATGTGCCGTACCGGCACGTGGAGGACGGCGAGAAGCTTGGTGTCTGGCTGGGGACGCAGCGGAAGCGCTACCAGGCGCGAGGGCTGAGCGAGGCGGAGCGTAAACGCAGGTATGCCAGCGCATTGAGTGACGAGGAGGTGGAGCGGCTAGAGGCGTTGGGCGTGGTGTGGGATGTGCTGGCGGAGCAGTGGGAGCGCATGTTTGGGCTGCTGCAGGCGTTCCGGGAGCGAGAGGGGCACGCCAACGTGCCAAGCGGGCATGTGGAGGACGGCGAGAAGCTTGGATCTTGGCTGTCGACCCAACGGAAGCGCTACCAGGCGCGAGGGTGGAGCGAGGCGGAGCGCAAGGGCAGGAAGACCAGCGCGATGAGCGACGGGGAGGTGGAACGGCTGGAGGTGGTGGGCGTGGTGTGGCAGCGCCGTGGCACACCCACATAGCGGTCGAGATGTTACGAGATCGAAAGATAAAGAGGAGAGCATAGAGCATGTCCAAAGACACAAACGAGGTAGGTAGGTAGGAAGGTGAAGAAGAGTGTCAGGTCAGGCTCGATTAGGCTCCACTGGACACGTCGAGTGAATTCTTTTTGAGAGCGCCTTCGTTGTTAAATTCTTTTTCTCGCCTGGAGCTAGCTCGAGCTTCTCTCGCAGCCTTCGCCCATGACGGGCCTCAAAACGCTCCTGCTTCTCCTGGTCGGGCTGCTGGAGATCAGCAAGGCGCCGCAGTGCAGCCGCCAGCGTGCCCTCCGCGCGGCGCGCTGATCGCCGATCCCGCGCCTGTAGGCTCTGGTGGTCACACCGCTCGTGTTGGGGCGCCGCGCCGCTGTCGCTGCGGGCGACATGCTGCAGACCGAACGCCAT